TTTGTACATTTTTTAGCGTGCGCAGTGAAATAGCTCACGTTTTTATACACGCAAACCTTTGATAGATCCGGCCCTTTAAGCGCTGACACAGAGAATTAAATGGATAACCCTTATGAGCCTTTGTTTTGTCTTGAATAGGGGAGTCCAATGAAGATGCCCTTTAGGATGGAGCTCTTGCTTAGGGACTCAGAGAGGCAGTCTGGACCAAGTGCTTTCAGCCTTCTGTAAATGTAAATGCCCTACTCTAATCACTGGGCCATGACTTCTCCTTTGCATAACAATCTGAAGGTCACATGACATGAAGAGATTCAGGTACTTATTCAGAGAGGAAGCATATTTTAAAAAAGTTGATCAACTGATTAGCTGGAATTGGTAGCAGAGCTAGGACTCTCTGGACTGAATGGTAAGAAAGGTTGGTTCAGACTACAATTAGTCAAAATTAATACTTTAATGACTTCCCTTCATATTTGATCACACAAAAACTATGATGACATTTGCAGCAATCCTAGCCTTTTGGGCTATCCTGCAAGATTTGTCTGCCTGTGAAAAGTAAAGATTAACACAGCTACGATTTTAATCTAAAAAGTTTGCCTTTTTATTTTAGTTTTGTCATGTTTTCAGTGTAAAATAGCTAACTGATAATAATCCAATAAAAATGGTAAATGTTCATGCTTGGATGTTGGTAATTTAATCCTTTTTATATTCCTGCAATCTACTTATCTGAGACAATGTTCAGGAGCATGGAAGAAAATATATTTCAGAGACGCTCACTCACACCAGACAGTCACTCACTCACACTCACCCACCCATCCTCACAGACACACACGGCTATGTTCTGTCTTCCACTGCAGCACAAAGCTCCCATCCACTAACGATGACTCACTGCTGTCCCAGAAACTTGTGATTGTAAATTTCTAAGCATGGACACATTGTAGACAAGGTCATTTTTAAATGTCATCATTAGATAGATGTCTGTAAAGAATATTGAATCTATGTCATGTTCGGTGTTCATCTGTTTTAATATAGTATTTTGCAGAATTATTCTCCACCTTCCTTTTATTTTTTTTATTTTATAATTTTTTTCCATGTCCTTAATTTCCTGTATTTATTTGTCTGACATGATGAGGCCTTAACACCTGGGCACATATTCACAGTCCTTCTCCTTACATACACCTCCCTCAGCCACTCTTTCATCATCTCCTCAATGAGGAGATGAGGAGTTCTGCATAAAGCACATACCTGTTCTTTTATACACAATCCACCCCCACACTTCCCCCTTTAACGTTCTCATGGTGGTCTCAACAACGTCCGCAGTAACAACACACATTGGGCGCACCGCACTATAAGGCGTGCCGCACATTTTGAGGGAAAAAAAACACGTTTATATGCACCTTATAGTCACGAAAATACGGTATTTTAAAGTACCATAGACCTTAGAGTGCTTTTAAAGGAGTCGTCACCCAGAAATCAGAGTAGTTAAAATGTGAGTTAAAGGTAAAACCTGTTGGAAAATTCAGAGTTTGAGATTGCATTGTATTTCTTTTGTACAAGAGCTCTTTCATCAAACCAGAAGTGCCCAAAAAAACACATTCATCATAAAGCGTGACTTTAGTCCTTCCTCTGTATTGATGTGCTAACATAAGCCTGCCTTGCTATTGCCATCTATGCCACCTAAAGGGGTGAATGAAGGACTCACAGCTGCTGGTTGTGAACTAATTTTTACTAGTGTAGGAGACCAAGAAATTAGGCAAAACAAACCATGGCAAAATACTTTTGTTGCTAATGCTGCATCCACATGAACATCTGTACACACCATTCTTGTGCATATCCTTGTGAGGAAAAAAAGGGAAATGAAAAGGAGTTCAAATTATAGCTTTTAAAAAAAAATTTCAGCTGGAAATGATTGGAAATAAACTGTTGAGAAGAGATGTATAAGTACAATACAAGGTTATGTCTCCTTTAAAGTTAGAAGAAATTAGTGTAGAGATGAGGTATTAGTGAGCATAAGAGTGTCAAACAAAGAAGATGGTGAAAAACTGGAAATAGAGAAAATGTTTTGGCTGGTCCGACACCAAAATAGCAGAATAAATGAACATATAAGAATATTTGATGCTTATAAAAATTATTAATATTCAAATAAGACAAGCTTTATAATCCTTCCTAATTTGAGTAATTAGTTTTTGCAGCCAAATAGGTCAAAGGTGCGCGTCCAAACATATACATTTATCAAGGATAGATAATTAACAGAAAAATGAAATAATATTCATGATTTTTTTTTAAATATATACATTTAAAACAATATAGTTGAGATGATTTTCATATTCATATACACTGTAAAATGCTCTCAGTAATAAATAATTTTAAAGTATTAAAACAAATGTAGAAAAATATGTAGATAAAGACACACTCTAGATAAGACCAAGGACAATAACACACATTCAATGTGTATACAGCAAGTTATAAAGGAGGTAAGAAAGTATTTTCTTTATTGTGCATGATGATGTCAGTATCTATAGCCTTAGGTCACTTTTGTGATGCCATCGCCTCATTGGCTTTTGGTTGTGGCAATTTGTACTTCTCACTTTCAAGACTGGAGTGTAAAAACAAAAAAAATGATATTGATCTGCTGAGTAATCTGCTTCCATTTCCTCTCTTTTTCACTTTGTATCAAAAGCATTTACCTTTAAAATAGCTCTATTCTTCTCACAGAGTTATTCCATTCCATTCTCCTCTGCTCAGTATAGTTTAGACAGTAGCAGGTAAATAGAGAGATGACAGCACTTTGATACTAAAGATACACAAAGTAGTACAGTAGTTTCTTGCATAGAAATACTGGGTTTGGTTGGTTGGTTACTGTTGAATTAACAGAAAAAGTCAGCTGGGTAGATCTGGAGATCAACAACTATCGAAAGTATGCACTATTTTACATTGAAGTGTTACAATAAAATCCTAATAAAGTGTAAAAATTGTTGTAGAAATCTGGTCATACCGGGTTTTAGCAGCAGCATCTGGAACCCTGGAAACTTTTTGTATACTGCTTTTAAGGGGGATGAGGCTCCTTAACATATGACGTCAGCGTTGATAACAGATCGAACAAACATTATACATATGCCTCTATGTATAAGCTTAGCACCAGTTGGATGATTATATCTTCATTAAATATGTTGTGTATGCCCCAATTGAAGCCAGCTGTCTCATCGAATAGGGAAAAAAAATTATGTGAAACAATGGGCTATTCATCTCAATCTCCTGGGCTTTCCTATCATGATGGACAGCACTGAAACAAGTCTTCTGTTTGTACAATCAATCATCCTTGAAGAGCTTTCTAACTTAGAATAACATCACAGGAAATGGCCTTGCAAAGATACTTTTTTCATGCTTATCAAAAGATCAAATTTAACAGGAATGTTATAGACTCAAAATCAGTGAGTAGATTTTAATGGCTCTGTGGACATTAAATCTATATTATCAAGTTGATTGCACTTTTTCAGGGGTGTCACTGTATGAGTGAAGGGATTACTGCTAAATGAAACACTGTTGAGAGGCAGTCAAGTTCCTCTGTGTCATCAAAAATCCCTGAGGCTGATTTTTTTCCATCTCATCCCTAAAAATATAAATAAAACTAAAATAATCACACAATTTCAAACGCATACTAGCCACATACACACACAAAACCTCTCTCTGTATCTAAATCAATTTCAATCTCTAATCCCTGTTATTGGCTAACACTTTGGACAAGGTTACCCATAGTACTTTGGTTATTAAAAACAACATATCTATGGATAAAAAAAAAAGATATAAGAATTGTTCTTTTATTTGTTTTCTTTTGTTTAATCTTTAATACTCATATGAAACACTACAAACATTATTTGGATTGATGATGCCTTGCTTGAGACATTTCAAAAATATAAATAGGAAAGAAAAAAAAGACAGATCATTTGATTATCTTTTTTAACATTAAGCTTTTTGTGTATTTCACCCATCAATACATTGTCTTCCACTGCTCCAAGCTACATTTTCTAGCTCATTTTATGTATCCCAAGGCATTCCAAGGTCAGAGGGATATGCAGTGCATCAAGCAAGTTCTGGGTCTACCCCAGGGTTTCCTTTAAGTCGGATGTAAATTGAAAACATTGTGTCAAGAAGAGATCCTGACCAGCGGCCTGAACCACATAAAACGACCCCTTTGAATGCAGAAGAGCTATTTCCATCTCCCCTCTGGGATAACGGAGGATCTCAAGGGGGTCCTCCTACCCTGCAGATCAAGCTAATTTTAGCAATTTATGACTAAGATCCCAGCCATTCACACTTTGATGAAAAACCACTCCATAACAAAGGTTACGGTCTGAAAACACCAGTGCCACAATCACATTGATGGTACCCTGACGTTCCCTAACCAGACACTCTTTTCTCCTACGCTGACATTCTGCCCATCACGACAGAAAAAGAAGATCGACTTGGAATACATTTAGTTTTGTACACACAACCCCTCCTTGAGTTATACTTGGATTGGAAAGCTTCCACACTCCCCATACACTAAAATGTTCCCCTTGAAAAAAAACTTCTAAGGACAAGTTCAGAAGCCTTCGCAAGATCCACTAATGTTGACCAACTCCACGCACACACATATTTAGTACCTCTACCTTTACACAGCCCAAGTAGAAGCCTCAGCTCCTTATCTGGTCTTTTTGCATTTCTTAACGAGTAAAGATCAAACTTGAAATAAACCTAAATGTGATTGTGTTTTTGTGTCACATACAGTATGGACAGAAAATTATATATATATTTTTTTCACCTATCCATCAAGTTGGAACAAGCCTAAAAAGCCTAAAATGGAAAGTTCTGTGCTGTAGATCTGGGTGGATAGTAAGCGAAACGGTTATACAGAGCATTAAATTCAAAACCTACACCACATAAAAACCAAAATAGATCATAGGCAAATAAGTCTAAATTACTCTTCTACTGCATGTTTTCATCTGAGCTTTTCTCTGTTTCTGCAGGAAAAATTGCAGTCCTTTGCCTTCCTGGTCTTTGTGGTTGTCTGCACCTCAGGGTCCATTTACTTGTGTTCTGTACTTCCTGAAACCAAAAACAAAACCTTCATGGACATCAGCCAGAGCTTTGCTAAAATCAACAAAATGCCAGCGCCTTCGCCTGCCCAGGAGATGGAAATGGTCCTGTCCATTAAGCCACAGAAGAACGGGAAAGCACAAGACATCACAAAGATGGAGAGCTCCTTCTAAGTTGCACTTATTGTGGTAAAGGCATGATCAAAATGTTAAAGTAAAATGTTTTTACATATTTATGCAGAAAAAAAGTCAAGGACAAGGAATCGCATGATGATATCACTTAGTTAGACATCAATGTATGCTTTCTATATGTTGTTTAGGGCTGGAACATTAAAGAATACCACAATATTACGCACTTAGTGGATTGTTTGTATTTACTGAAGTGTAGATTTATTAAGTCATCCAAAGTGGATTAAGGTGGATCTTGCTATCAAAAGCAACATGTTTCTAATTGATTACAGGGGAAGTAAAAACAGTTAATAGGTTTTTTTTGCCGGTTTTTGTATTTGTTGATCCATTTAAAAGATGCATCTTTTCTCAATGTACCTACGGTTTGGGTTTCTATTATTGATTAGTTTAACTGATCAATTATTTGCCCGGCACCACACTGAAACAGTTCCTTTCTCCAAAATTTCAATGAGGATATATAACCAACACATACAATGTTTGCTGTTGTTGTCCTTCAGTAAGGGTCACTTGTTTGACACCTGTTTGTCCACAAGATGAATGAAGTATCTCCCCTTTCAAATATTGATTCAGCAACACAGAATTAGTCGAATGTTTGTCATGATCATTGAAGCTTTATTATTACCCTTTATTTATTTATTTATTTATTTTTTTACATACCACATGTAGAAGTATCATTTGAATTAAAAACAACGACTGACTTGGTTACATCAGCATACAAAAATACTAACCAAAGAAAGTAAGTGTCATTCGTGTGGAGGTTGGAGCTCAGTCAGACTTCATACAAGAGCTTGGAAGCCACATAAGTTAGGAGGAGTTAATTAAAAACTATAAAGTCTTTCCACACAGGCAAGAAGGGATCTGATCAAATAAATGAAGAACTAACAGAGGATATGGGGAACAGGAAACATGGCAATATCAAAATGGTTGGATCAGTATAAAAGGAAAAAAGGTGAATATGTGTGAGTGAGAATGTAGAGAAAAGGCATGGAGAACAGAAAGAAAGTAATCAAGTGAGAAATAAAAAATGGCTGATGAGAATTAAGGCAGGATCTACGAACGAGAGAGAATATGAGCAAATATGTAAAAACACTTAGAAATAAATCCAGAATAGAATGGAAAAGGTAATACTAATTAAATGAAATTAAAGCACAAGTACACATGCTGATGAAAGACAGAATGTTTTCATGATGGTTTTAATGTACTGCAGATTACACTCTGTGTTACACAATTAAATCTCTAAATCAGATAAGGTTAAGAAAGAGCATAGTCCAAAAATGTATATCTTAGATAAGCTACACTGAAAAAAATAATGCAACCGTTTTTGGCATTTACTTAATCATATTTAGTTACTTTAAAACAATTATTTTGTGTCCTACCCTGCTAACAAGAAACAATTGTGTTAAAGTAACTAGATGTGATGCCAAAATGCCAAAAAAGGTTGCATTATTTTTCCAGTGTATATATAAAATTAAAAAAATATATATAATAAATAAATTTTATTGTCAATTTTAAGATGTTTAAGTTATAGGTCAAGGTTTCGAGTGAACACAATCACTCATCCTGCACCAGAATCCAGTTGATGTTTTTTTAAAGACACATTTTCATCAAACATTAAAAAAGATATGCAAATTTGTTTTGAATGGCATCTGAATATTGTAAATTATATAAATATAAATAACACATTTTAGTACTCATTGATGCCTTTTTTAATTAAAACGGAGGTGAAATCAGTTTAGGGTTCTTAGTTGAATAATTGTAGCTTTAATTTGCTTATTTAGCAGGGTTTATGCCGTTCAAACCAAATGCAGAGAGGAGTAGGCACAGATGAGTTTGGATGGTTCAATGAAAGTCCGATGGAAACAGAGGCAAAAATCCAAAATACTAAAATTCTGAAAACCAAACAAAACAAATAAACGTCATGAAAAATACTCGAAGGAATCAAGAGACTAGGAAGCAACAAAACAACATCTACAACACACAAGAAACCAGCACTGAAAGAAGGCTCTGGTGCTTTTTTAAGCCCAGCACTATGATAATCAAGATTACATTCACCTGTGTAGGCTAACCCAGCTCGCCACAAAGATCCTCTATAGTAGAGATGCACAACTTGCACTAACCCACACACAGGAACCCTAACATCACCTCTGGATGGTTCCTGGACCGGCTGTTAAAATCCTGGTATCCACACCAATCTAGTGACCCAGACTAGGTTATCAGCAGAGCTATTAATTATCAACCAAAGAACTATTTATCTCTGCTTATTCACACTGTTCCCAAAAGGGGGTATATGGATTACAAGACCACTTCAAGTTAAATGTCATTGTAAGACATCTTGGTGAAATTTTACCACGAAATGATGAACAACATCATCAGCAGGGTTGATGATGCATGTTGTTTATCTCTCTATCACAGTAGAAATGCCATTGGAAAAATGCCTGAGTAACTTTTTGATAATGCAATGGATAAAATGATTTATTTCTATTCATTTATTAACATTTCTTTCCATTTACTTTAAACCCTCTGCTGGTTTGGTTACATATACTGTAGTTTAAAGGCCAAGTTATGAAGAATGCACAAATAAGTGAATAGTGACCAATGTTTATAAAAAAAAAAATATTAAAAGCTGTATCCATTACTGCATAAAGCAATTTCAAATAATAGTTAATTTTTCCGTTATTCCTGAATGAAATATGGTGATTGGACAGATGGATGTCCTGTGGAAAAGCATTATGTAGGAAGCTAAGCTTCCAATGAAGACATCAAATAATAAAAAACCTCAAGGAATATCATGAGAATAACAGACATTTGTTTGGAGCTTTCCCAGCTCTTAAAAAAGCTCAGGCTACTTCCCACCAGATGGCAGGAGCCAGCGGAGGAGTTGATCTGAACAGATGCAGACAGGCGTAGCATTGAATAGCATTTACATTTCGCTTCACAGTAGGGTTTACTGAACTGTTTAAAGCCTGCATCCTTTAGGGCTGGCACTCTTACTTCCATACAGACACATACTGTACATCATGCCAAGTGCAGTCTGAGTTTACATTCTGAGTTATGAATGGGAGGTAAGGAAATTTCAGCCTATCATCACTTCAATTTTGACTCCCGGTCATATTCAGTGGGCTGGGACCGCAAATTACATTTCCCAAACTGGCAAGTAAGCAGGGGAAGTGATGCGAATAATAAGTGGTGTTGTCTTTCTTATCTCCTCTCCACCATCCTTCTCTTGAGGAGTCTTTCTCTCAGAAGAATTAGTTAGTGGGTAATTGATAGAAGGATTTGCTACAGATTGCTGGTGGGGAAGTAATTATAATGCTGTCGATCTGTAGTGAAACATATACCATATACTTAATATGATGCTCTGTGGAGTAGTCCTTACCTTCTTTAGTTGGTGTGCTCATCCATATACAGGTGCTGGTCATAAAATTAGAATATCATGAAAAAGTAGATTGATTTCAGTAATTCCATTTAAAAAGTGAAACTTGTATATTATATTCATACATTACATACAAACTCATATGTTTCAGATGTTTATTTTGTTTAATTTTGATGATTACAAATGACAACAAATTAAAATCTCAAATTCATCATATCAGAAAATTAGAATATTACTGAAGACCAATAAAAACAAAGGATTTATAGAAATGTTGGCCAACTGAAAAGTATGAACATGAAAAGTATGAGCATGTACAGCACTCAGTATTTAGTTGGGCCTCCTTTGGCCTGTATTACTGCAGCAATGCGGCGTGGCATGGAGTCGATCAGTCTGTGGCACTGCTCAGGTGTTATGATAGCCCAGGTTGCTCTAATAGTGGCTTTTAGCTCTTCTGAATTGTTGGGTCTGGTGTATTGCATCTTCTTCTTCACAATACCCCATAGATTTTCTATGGGGTTAAGGTCAGGAGAGTTTGCTGGCCAATTAAGAACAGGGATACCATGGTCCTTCAACCAGGTACTGGTAGCTTTGGCACTGTGTGCAGGTGCCAAGTCCTGTTGGAAAATGAAATCTGCATCTCCAAAAAGTTGGTCAGCTGCAGGAAGCATGAAGTGCTCTAAAACTTCCTGGTATGTGGCTGCGTTGACCCTGGACCTCAGAAAACACAATAGACCAACACCAGCAGATGACATGGCACCCCAAACCATCACTGACTGTGGAAACTTTACACTGGACTTCAAGCAACGTGGATGAAGTGCCTCTCTTCTTTTCCTCCAGACTCTGGGACCTTGATTTCCAAAGGAAATGCAAAATTTACTTTCATCAGAGAACATGACTTTGGACCACTCACCAGCAGTCAAGTCCTGTTTCTCTTTAGCCCAGGCAAGACGCTTCTGACGCTGTCTGTGGTTCAAGAGTGGCTTGACACAAGGAATGCGACAGCAGAAACCCATGTCTTTCATACGTCTGTGTGTGGTGGTTCTTGAAGCACTCACTCCAGCTGCAGTCCACTCTTTGTGAATCTCCCCCACATTTTTGAATGGGTTTTGTTTCACAATCCTCTCCAGGGTGCGGTTATCTCTCTTGCTTGTACACTTTTTTCGACCACATCTTTTCCTTCCCTTCGCCTCTCTATTAATGTGCTTGGACACTGAGCTCTGTGAACAGCCAGCCTCTTTAGCGATGACCTTTTGTGTCTTGCCCTCCTTGTGCAAGGTGTCGATGGTCGTCTTTTGGACAACTGTCAAGTCAGCAGTCTTCCCCATGATTGTGTAGCCTATAGAACTAGACTGAAAGACCATTTAAAGGCTTTTGCAGGTGGTTTGAGTTAATTAGCTGATTAGAGTGTGGCACCAGGGGCCATCAATTTTGAACCTTTTCACAATATTCTAATTTTCTGATATGATGAATTTGAGATTTTCATTTGTTGTCATTTGTAATCATCAAAATTAAACAAAATAAACATCTGAAATATATGAGTTTGTATGTAATGTATGAATATAATATACAAGTTTCACTTTTTAAATGGAATTACTGAAATCAATCTACTTTTTCATGATATTCTAATTTTATGACCAGCACCTGTACTTAACAGATCCTCTCAGGATGTCCAGTAAATTGGTTTCCTAAGAGCAAGAATACAGGAGATAAATTCAACGCATGACTCTGTTGGGTGGGTTCGTTGATCAGGAACACTTATCCCTGTGTCTCCCCACTTTACAAAAATATGCTATTTTTAAATAGGCTCAATTAAAAGTCATAATAAAAGTATTTTTGTAACTGTCTGAGGATCAAAGTTTTTTACTTTTCATTGGATAAAAAGCAGGAATTGAATCTAAAAAAATGAACGTTTTA